GAGAGAGAGAGAGAGAAAGAGAGAGAGAGAGAGAGAGAGAGAGATTTTCCAAAAATCTTATTTACGTGAAAGTAATGCAACTCAATTGTAATAAACTTTGTAAAAAGGATTTCTGCTTGAATTTAATTTTAAAACATTTATTTTAAAACAAATCTTTATTCATCCTGGTGCTTAATATAAAATATGATGTATAATATTATGCAATCATATAATATTATTTATATATGATTTTAACTACGGTATTTGTAAACCAAATATGCTAATGCCTTATGGAATAAAAGTACGGGACATATACTGTAATACAAGATATATTGGCTAATACATCTACCCATACTTCTAGGTATTGGTTAATACAGTAGAAGTAAATCAAACATAATTTTTACTTTTAAATATAATATAGTATTATTAATATATAAAAATAAATAATTTAAAAATTTTTAAACAATATTTCCAAAAAAGTATATTTTTAAATGTATATAAAATGTGTACACCATGAGTTGAGAAATGTTTGACGCAAACAAATACTCTCATTCATATGTTATATGAAATGTCGGTCGGATTTCCTTATTCTTTATGTGAAAAATATGTTTATTTAACAATAGACTAACAATAGAGTTGATTATAAATGAAATTCTCACACTTTTGGTTCACTGGTATATAAATACTGTATAGCCCACAATTCAATGTAATCTCATTTCAATATCAAGAGTCCACAGAAAAAGTGCAGACAATTGAGTGCTGTATTCGAGTCTTAATTCAAATATTTTTTTATTTATTGACTCAATCGATAGTTTTCTCTCATTTTATTATATAATACTCTTTGCTTTTATTCAATTCACTTTTTAATATTAAATTTCTTAAAGAATTTCATTTAAAGTTACTTTTTTATAAATAAAAGTTTGCAAAATTTATTAATAATTTTAAAACAAAACTTGTTAATTAGATGACAATACAGTAATATAAAAATGATACATGATGAATTTAATAATTAAAAAATGGCAAATATTGTGATCATTTATGTTTAATATTACGATTGAAACAGTGGTCGAAGAAGTCGATCATTCGTATATACATGTGAGCCATTGATTGGTGTAAACTGTGTCTATTATCGGGATATATCTGTGTTTGGTATTTGATATTCGCCTCATTCATAGCCTTCAAGAGCATCATTGAATTCATTGTGTGTACGTTATCTGCAAATGTATGTATCGATTAATTGTTAGCATATATTACAAAAGTAATCAAATAAAAGTTGTTTTTTGTGTATTCGCATACCATCTGCGGTGCCAAACATAACGAGAAACTGTTTTCCATTCAAATGCTTCACATTATTCAGTGTCGACGACAAGATATAGTTTTTCAGATTGTCTTCAGGTGTGGGGAAACCCATATATCGCTCCACATATACAGAGTCTTTACAAATATTTATTATATTAAATATTTAATCAATCAATTGATTTCAATATAATCTAATTATTTCTTTAGACATAAATAAGTTATGATACAAATTAACACAAACCATAATACATCCAATCAGACACCGGAGCCACTATGGCAAATATTGTGATCATTTATGTTTAATATTACGATTGAAACAGTGGTCGAAGAAGTCGATCATTCGTATATACATGTGAGCCATTGATTGGTGTAAACTGTGTCTATTATCGGGATATATCTGCGTTTGGTATTTGATATTCGCCTCATTCATAGACTTCAAGAGCATCATTGAATTCATTGTGTGTACGTTATCTGCAAATGTATGTATCGATTAATTGTTAGCATATATTACAAAAGTAATCAAATAAAAGTTGTTTTTTGTGTATTTATTCGCATACCATCTGCGGTGCCAAACATAACAAGAAACTGTTTTCCATTCAAATGCTTCACATTATTCAATGTCGACGACAAGATATAGTTTTTCAAATTGTCTTCAGGTGTGGGGAAACCCATATAGCGCTCCACATATACAGAGTCTTTACAAACATTTATTATATTAAATATTTAATCAATCAATTGATTTCAATATAATCTAATTATTTCTTTAGACATAAATAAGTTATGATACAAATTAACACAAACCATAATACATCCAATCAGACACCGGAGCCAC